TGATAGGGATAGAGATATTAGGCGCAAAGAACCGGGAGGTCGACCGGCCATCGACCGAAAAAGTACTCGTACATGGCTCAAAGGTCGACCCGCTTTAGCCAACCCAATGGAAATGAGTCGAGTCGGGCCCTGTATTCAAGCCAAGGCATAGGGTCGACCCATGCAAGGGTCTCGACCTGTCGACCCGTGTGAAGGTCTCGACCCACCAACCTATTAAGGACCTTGACCCGTTGAGCCTAATGGTCGACATAGTAAGATTGCATGGTTTTAGGCCAAGTCGACCCGCAAGAGGGTCGAGCCATGAAATTAAGGACGACCCCCGAGGTGTCGACCAGTAAGAAGTCGACCCATGAGGTGGGGTCGAACACCAACTTGGGCTTGACCCTTGGTAACGCCGATTACGGCGTATTCCGTACGACTAAACACTATATATACGATAAATTCCGGAGTAAAAGGTAAGACTTCATTAATATCATTACTACAACATTTATTACATACAATTCTCTCTCTCTAAATCCGAGATCCTAACTTGGGCGTCGGAGGGCTTGCGCCGGAGAAATTCCGGCGCGCTTTCAGGTACCGGAGAACACGCAAGCTTGGACCGGATTGAATCAAGCAAACCACGCCATAACCGAGAAGAACCTTCCGTTAGACCGAAGCCACCGATCTCGGACCATATCAAGTGGTTATCACCATAGTCGCATCACAATTATGTGTAAGTGATGACATTTAGATTTTCCATATATATTTTCTTTCAGTGGTGCCAAATCCGTCATTTTTAAAACAATATTTCGTCATTTAAATAGTGAAATTATCACTAACGTTCATATTTTAAATGATGATTAGGTACTTTGTCATCTAAATGCTAACCTACTAGCACGAGTACCCGTTCAATGCACGAGTTTGAAATATAAATATATAATTTTTATTTATTTATTTATTCATTTTGTGTGACAATTACTAATGACATAAAGATAAATTCTATTGATTAAGAACCCCAAAAGATCTAAGAATTATCAGTTTAAGACTTTAGTTTATTTCAATTTAGGACCTGCAGATTGGTCAACTATCAAACTCGGTGCTTGAAAAAATCTTTCAATTTGTGATCTAAAAGATGTAAAATTATTGGTTGAAGTTGAGAAGTTGAGATAGCCATGGTGACTGGAGGAGAAATTCATGGAAAGTGACGGATGAGAAGGATAGTTTCAAAAACCCTTGATTTTATGAAAATTTGCATATTAGTGTTCATTTGACGATTATTAATAGTTTATTTAGTCATGTAACTAAATCCAATTATTATTTAAGTTTGTTACAAAGTACAAATAAACTAAACCTAAATTAAAATGAACAATCGTTAGTAAATTTACAATAATATATTTTTGATATGTGAACATAACTTTTTTAGCCATGTAATCAGATCTGATAATATAAATTTATTACAAAATACAAAGAAACTAATATGATTCATTGAACAATATAGGAAGATGAATTGTGCAAACGAGAGAAAAATTGAAAGAGCTTTTGATATCAGAAAGTGAAAAATACAACTTGTGTTTGGGAAACCCTAAATGTTTCCCTTTTATACCAAGAATAGATTACCTATTGGGCTGATGTTAATAACATACAATTAAAGGCCCAATACACAAATATCCTAAGTACAAGACTAATTGTAAAAGCCCAATAATATATTTGTTAGAAACCAAACATAAACTTAAAAGAAACAATAGTTAGTAAATTTACATTAAAAGTGTATCATTTTTGCATATGTGTCATATTTTTAAAAAGGTTGATATTTATGCAAAATATTTAAAAAATTATATCATACTTTTTTTTCAGCCAACTACTAAGGAGTTGAGGAAAACGAAGTGTAACTTAGTTGTAAGACGTTTCACTTATCATAGGTCATGAGTTCGAGTCCTAAACGAGGGGAAATAGAAATTATTATTGATACTATTTTTTTCTAAAGAAAAAAAAGAAAAAAAAAATATCTATTTGAGGCCTTATTTCGTTCTTTAAATACATTGGGCCCACTTTGAACCTATTGAATGGCATGGCTGCTTTAAGTTTTTATTTGCTATTTATGGTCGGTCAGTTGGTCCCAGTCGGGTGGAGTGGGGAAACGAAGTAGGAAAATATTTTTGCCAATAAAGGGTCATAAGTCATAAGTAATAAATAAGACTGTCCAGCGGTTTTTTTTTTTTTTTTTT